TTACTCATTTTTTTTTTCATACTCTTGTGAAAAGCAACACTATACAACATTAACCTTGGTTATAATTCTCAATTTATTTTCCTTTTTAAATGATTTTTTCTCCACAATTAAATGAATTTCATTATCATATATTATTAAAGGTCCACAATATGTTAAGTTATAAAAAAAGACTTAAGTCTCAAATGAATTTATTAACTACAGCTGTGAAAAAACTCGAATTATTTGCTATATATATAAAAAAGAATCTCTTTTTGTGATTTATGTGTAAAAAAAGAATATACTCATCGATGGTTGCTAGATAGATTGCATTGTCTATCGACTGATTTTATATGTTAGAATATATACAGCTATGAATTTGTGTTTAAAACTATACAGTATTAATTATAGGAGTATATATTTTATATGACAAAAATAATTTTTGTATTGATTATATGGAGAAATAATATGTGTTGACTTTATATCATTGAAATTCATTTCAGTATTGCTTGAAGGAAAAAGACTTGCATATTATAATATTAATAACGATTATACTGTAAAGACAATCCAATTATATATATATATATATATATATATATATATATATATATATAAATTTGTATGAATTATTTATAAATGAGAAATATGCTTAAATTAATATATTCATTTATACTTGTACATAGCAATCAGCTTTGCACATTTGATACAATATATTTAAATTTAGTTGTAAACGAAATTTATTTATACCAAAGCATTTTTTATGCTCATCCAAAATTATCTACCATTTATTTAATATACATAATAATATACAAAATTTTGAATTACCGCTTGATTCAAATATCCCGCCATTAGTGTTACCACATTCGTCCCAATATAATTTCTACCTTTTACATAACATTTAAAATTTGACATGTCTTAGCATGTGGCAACACTTAGCGTACGCCAACAGTTTATCAATTTCTAAGCAAAGTTTTGTTTTATGTTTTAGAAATAGTTAAACTCTGTTGTTAATTGTGTATTTTAGTGTAGAACTATTACAAATTAATATTTAAAATGGGTGTGCCTAAGTTTTTTAGATACATTAGCGAACGATATCCTTGTCTGAGTGAATTAGTAAGAGAAAATCAGGTAGGTGACAAAAGAGCTGTCAAAAAATTAACCTAATAAGTAATAAAATAATAAAAATATTTTTAATTATTGCATTAAATTTACACAATAATACAGTATGAATTAGACAAATTTAATTAATGTAATTTTATGTATATAGCATTTGTATTCCTGCTGTTTTTTTTATTTATTTATTACAAATATGTTCATTCATACTGTGTCTCAGTCAGACACTTTTTCTGGTGTAAGAGAATATAGTAAACATTTTTACAAATATTCAAAACATTGGATTCTCATATCAATTTAACAATTGTTTTATACAAACATTTGCATATACGCACTTGTATGCATATACAAAAGTGTACAGGTATAACAGCAATAACACTAACATTAATTATTAAACTTGCTTCTTCTATACACTTTTTACCTCTTTTATTAAAATACTAATAATTCTATCTATGTCTTCTCCCCAGATACCACAGTTTGACAATCTCTACTTGGATATGAATGGGATTATTCACGTGTGCTCACATCCAAACGACAATGATCCACACTTTAGGATATCCGAAGAAGATATTTTTAAGAACATAGCTCATTATATAGAAATTTTATTCCGTATGATACAACCGCAAAGGTTATTTTTTATGGCTGTGGACGGGGTTGCACCCCGAGCTAAAATGAACCAGCAGAGGGGAAGAAGGTAAATGATAAAAAAAAAAATTATTAGTCTTTCTATTTTAGCATTTATACATTTAACTTAAGTTAAATTAATTAACTTTCCTCAAATGTCACTTACACCTAGTTTATTTCTTTTTCAGATTCCGTTCTGCAAGAGAAGCCCAAGACTTGGAAGATGCAGCTAGAGCAAAGGGCGAAGAGTTGCCGACAGAGGCTCGGTTTGATTCAAACTGCATCACTCCTGGTACAGCATTTATGGCCAGACTTCAAGAGTTTTTAAAGTATAAATAAAGAAATATATAAATAACAAATTGCAATCATGTAAAATAGTAAATTTATATAGAACATGTATATATTTCCAGATCGTTTGTTAAGAGAAAAATGAATTCTGATTCCAATTGGCAAAAGTGCCGTGTGATACTCTCAGGACACGAGGTAATAATTGATATTAATTTCTTTGATGATTTGTTTGTGATGGGTTGTTAAAAAAAATCCGATTCTCTAATTTTATGCTTTCTCGATGTTTCAAGCCATTCTGAATCGAATGAGACCAACATTTGGAAAAAATATGTGTGTGTGTGTGTATGTGTGTGTGTGTGAACAGATTTTTTGCCGTAAATCGACGTTTTATCAAAAACGGCGATTTTAAAAATTTAAAAGCCATTCGATGTATCTCGACGAGAACTATTGTTCGTCAGTTTTGTGCGACGATCGGCCAATCCGTTTCCTTATAAATCGCAGAGGAGTGAAAAGTTTTTCGTCCACGTTTTAGCCCGTATTTCGACGATTTTTATGATTATTTTTTTGACGGTAGATACCATAGTCTTCTAGGTCATACTAAAATATTACGACCCTACGACAACTGGTTCAGCTTTAAAAATTCGTCAAAGTTTGCAAAAATTGGTATCGTTTTTTTGGCATTTGTCAAAATTAGTCTTTTGATCGACGTTTTCTCAAAAACGCCTGAACCGATTTTAGAAATTTGAAAGCCATTTGATGTATTTTGGTGAGGACTATCGTTTGTCAATTTTGTGCGACGATCTGCCAAGCCGTTTCTTTGCAATTTGAAAAAAAGTGTTAAACTTTTCGTCCACATTTAAGCTCATCCTACCGAACCGATTTTAAAAAATCCAAAACCGTTCGAAAGATATTAGTTGGGAATGGTACTGATTAGTTTTCGGTGAAAATCCACCGAGCCGTTTTCTTGTAATGAACTGTTGAAAAACAAAAATTAAGCCGATTCTCATGGAACTTTTTTTGGCGATATACATCATCATGGTCTTATAGAACGTACTGTAATATTACGGCATTACGACAAGTAGTTTAATTTTAAAAATTCGTCAAACTTTGCTAAAATTATTGTTTTTTTTTAAAGTAGGATTGATGAAGTATATTATTTACACATTTTTTTTCTGATTAAGTCGATTATTTACACATATCGGGAAGTTCATGTAACTTGCCTCAAGGCTAAATGCCAATACCAACTAGTTATTTTTATTTTTAGACTCCTGGTGAGGGCGAGCATAAAATAATGGAGTATATAAGATATTTGAAAGCTAGTCCTGGTTATGATCCCAATACAAGACATTGTTTGTATGGTCTCGATGCTGATTTAATTATGCTTGGGCTTTGTTCACATGAGCCTCATTTTTCGCTCTTAAGAGAAGAGGTAAGCATAAATAACATATGTATATATACTAGCTGGCCCGCCAAACATAGTTTAGACACAAAAAATATTTCTTGAAAATGTTTAGTATAATAAAAACGCATAACCTTAAATTTTCAACCTTCTATCATAAACCACTATTTTGTAAGAGTCTGATCGTCGTGAAAATTTATGAAATTTCGGTTTGGTAAATTTCCGTACAGGTTTTAGGATATTTTGATTTAAGCCAAGTCGAAGGGGTTGCACGGCACAAAGACTTTTTTAACATTTTTTTATATTTTTTTTGCCAACTTCTATTTTTTAACTTCCCGCAGGGTAAGAAATAGTAATCGCAAAAAAATCGAAAATGAAAATGTTTGTATATCTTTACGTTTCAGAAGTTTTTGAATATTTTGGCATACCTTAGAAAAAATGGATGTATATGTGTGTGTATGTGTATATGCGTGTGTATGTGTGCGGATACAAATTTTCGTCGACGATTTCGGGAACACCGATCAACCGATTTGAATAATTAAAAAAACATTCGATTCGTATTGATAAGGAGACGTGCTGATTAGTTTTTAGCGAAGGCAGGTCCAGCCGTTCCGAAGATATGGGGCAAAAAGTGCCAAAAACGGTAACTCAGTTTTTAAGAGAACGGAGCGTCCGATTTGAATAATTCAAAAACATTTTACTTGTATTGACAAGATGAAGAACTGATCAAATTTTCATGAAGGTGGGTCTAGGGGTTTCGGAATCTTGTGAAAAAAGTAAAAAAAATGCCGTTCCGTACCAATACTTATCCGTTAGACGGCGGCGCTTACGCGCTTTGATATTTCGTCTCTATGCAGTTAAAGCAGTACGATTGCTTTGAAAAAAAGTTCAGAATTTCCAAAATATTTCAAAATACACTTCTTTTCAAAAAGTCTTTTCCAAAAAAAGTAAATTTTTGTCAAAAATTTATAGTTTCTCAAAAATCTAATTTTTCAGAGTATATTTTTTTCAAAAATGTTTTGGTACGGGAAGTTCCAGCAGTTTGCCTTAAGACACGATGCCATGCGCCCCACTAGTGTTTTGCATATCTTCACGTTTTAGAGGTTTCTGAACATTTTGGCATACCTTAGAAAAAAATTGTAGACTGAGACTGAGCCTGAAAAATTTGAAAAAACAGGTTGACTGAAAAATGTAGCGACTGAAAATTTTCGAGAAAAATTTAGCGACTGAAAAATTCAGAAACTGAAAATTTTTGAGACTGAAAAGTTCAGAGACTCAAAAATTTGGAGACTGAGATTGGAGAATTTAGAGACTGAAAAAAAGAGGTTGAATGGTATACTGGAGACAGGTAGAGAGGTAGTCAGCAGGTTGTACTGACAGGTAGACTGTAAGACAAAAAAAGTGCTGGACTACATGTAACAATATATTTTTGTTCAAATTTTTAATACAAAATAAAACACGGCGAAGCGTGAACGGGTACAGCTAGTATATATATATATATACATATATATATATATATATATATATATAATATATATCTCATCTATTACCATGTATCTTTTATCCTAGGTGAAATTTGGCAAACATGCAAACAGTCGGAACCCAACTGCTGAAGAGACTCGATTTTATTTATTGCATTTATCAATATTACGTGACTATCTGCAGCAGGAGTTCATATCGTTGAGAGATAATTTGCCGTTCAAGTACAATTTAGAGAGTATTATAGATGATTGGATTTTTATGGGCTTTCTAGTCGGGAATGATTTCATACCTCATCTACCCAATTTGCATATTAGTTCGAATGCTTTGCCTTTGCTGTATGATATTTATAAGGAAGTTTTGCCCACATTGGACGGTAATGATATACAATTTATTAATATAAATAAGAATAAATAAAAAATGTATTTTATATATATATTTTTTCTCTACAGGTTATATTAATGAGTGTGGCGAATTAAATTTAGAAAGACTGGAAAAGTTTATGGAGCGTTTGGCTGCTGTAGATAAAATGCAATTTAGTGATGTTAATGCCGACTTGAAATATTTTGCAGCTAAACTGACTGATAATGCTGTGAGCTTATGCATAGACTTTACTCAATAAATTTTGATACGCAGTTGATTTATTTTATATTATTTTAGTGGGTTCCTGAGCATAAGAAACAAAATGATGGTAACAGTTCTAAGTCAAAGGACTTGCAAGCTTTAATTTCTGCTGTTGATGACATGGTAAGTGATATATGATATATCTTATATATAAAATTCTTCTGTAAGTTTGTATGAATGGTTAATCCTCCTAAACTATAATTCGGATTTTCATTAATCTACTTGACTTTTGTTCGGGAAATTTTCTAGAATTTAAAGATTCATAGAAATGTAGTTAGATTGTAGAAATAAATGGTGAAAATTACAAAAAACCGCTTATCATTGTTTGCCCTTGAAAATATTTAAGGCATGGTTTGACATTAAAACAAATGAATACTGTCACTTGCCAAACATTTCCATTCACTTATAGGCTAAGACAATATTAAAATATAATTTATTTATGATTATAAATAAGAAAAATGCAGTGTCTACATTATTATTGCCGAAAAGCAGCTGATATGTGTCAAAAATTAAAATAATATAAGATTCACAGTCAACATGCGTCCGTCAGTGATTACACATCAAACTTAGCCTATAATTCAATTTGACAGATTATTATTAAAGGCAGTCGTGTTTTGCCTTACTTTACTAAATCACAATACAAAAACAATTTACTTATTCAAACAATTATTTAGAAGTTTCATTGTGTCAAAAATTCATATGTTTGTCATTGGATACGAAATATTTACTCAAGTCAATGGAGCATTTTGGGTCTGAATATTTTTAATGTGCTCCAATTTGCATGAAATTTTGGAATTAGATTCATCTTACTCTCAAGTTTAAAAGTAAAAATAATTTAGAACCATTTGCCACTTCCCGGGGGGATGGCAACCCTTTTCAGTGGTGCAATTGTATCTCTTTCAAACTAACGTCGGATATCGATAAAAGAACTAATTAGAAGAGAAAAATGTTCAATAATGTTTTTCAAAAAAGAAATTACTTTTCAAGTTACTGGCTACTGAAAATTTGTTGTTTTTTGCGTTTTTCATTGTTTTTTGCAAATATTTTTAAAAATATACATTTAAACGAAAATCATGTAATGAACAAAATTATATCAATTAAAATCCTAATAAATCGGTGTTCTATAAATTGTTCTAGGAACAATATTAGGCTAGATATTAAAATGGGGTTTTATAGTATTCAAAATAAGCTTTAAAATGAGTACTTCTGCATGTAAAATAATTGAGCTATCATGCAGATAAAAGACGCATACAATATTTTTTCATTTAAAGCAAATAGTTTTTGAGTGCCATTTCCACCAAAATTAAAAAAAATCGTATTCCCTCTAGAATCAACTTGGTTTAAGAGATCTTTACGGATTCTAGAAAATACCATAACTTTAGTACAAACGATTTTCAAAAAACTCATGATTTCATGAAAAAAAAATCTATTTAAAAAAATAAAAGATACGTATAAAGGTATATAAATGAAAATTCAAGGTCTTTTTCTGACCAATTAATGCTTTTTTTTTTCTGTTACACAAATATTGACAGAGTGTTCAACCAGAGTGTCTTTCGAGTCCTTCAATCCTTTGCCATTTCAAAATAAGAGAAGTTACGGTAAAATTTATGATAGAGAAAGTTGTAGCTCATTTAATTACCTTTAAAATAGCGTATTGCAAGAACAGATAAAATCAGAATTAAAAGAGTTATAATCCAATTAACGCCGGGGGTGGTGACGAAGTGCAAATTGTTTTCACTTCTGAACTTAAGATAAATATTAGCCTATTTCCGACACACGCTTTTTTCCTCTCCATTTAGTGCAATAATTTTGTTGATCGTAGATTGAATAGAGCACATGCAAACAGGATTTGATAAATTAATTCACTTCAAATATAAACTTCAGTAATAATGTATATTGAATTACTAGTGAAAAAAATTTAATTTAGATCGTAAGTGACTAAAAGCCAGTTAAAATATGGTACGTAATTATATAAATTATAGGCAACATTATTGAATCCAAGGTGATATTGTACCTTTACCGCGAATGCTATATATTAATTCTTTCTGAATTTGTTATACCTTTTAAAAGACTTAAATTTTCAACACATGTGTCTTATGCTATGACCGTAAATACATCACAAAGGCAAACGATGATTTTTTGTGTGATAAATTTGGAAAATCAATGTTTTAGTCGTGAATAAACAAAAAATCATTTATTTATACATCCACATCTACAGGTATGACTAAAAATACTATATAACCCTTAAATGCAATAAAATAAATTAAGCTATTGGAAATAAATTTGCAGTGTATAATTTTTAATATACAATTTTATTGAACATTTTTTAATATTTGTTAAATGGATAATTAAAGCGTTAACTGTGGGAATTGAGAATAATCATTTTATTTGAAACAGTACTACATTTAACATCACTCATATATTGACGTAAATAGTAATTCGAAAACTAATAATGATTATTTTTGACTGAACGGTATAAATATTAGTATAGGTTATTAAAAAAACGTAGATGTGTGTACAGGACAACGTCTGTCGGGTCATCTAGTATATATATATATATACATATATATATATATATATATATATATATATCCATTATCTTTTCAGTTTCTAGATGATGATTCCCCTGACAATTTCGATGAAGACTCTATGAGTTTCGACATCAGAGACAAAAACTTGAGCAACATGACCGATGAAGAAATGTTAGAGGAGGAGTTTAATTTGTACAAACGAGATTATTATATAAACAAATTAGGATATAAAGAAGTCACACCGTAAGCTTTATCAGTACTCGCTAGGTGCATGGTTATTTGTATTATAAATAATAATAATAATATAAAATTAATTGCATTTGGTGAAAGAATGGATAGAAAATGTCATATCATTTCTTGTCTTTATTGATATTATATTTTTTCAGTGATGTGTTAATGGAGCAAGCCGAGTGTTATATTCGAGCTTTGCAGTGGACGTTGGCGTATTATTATCGTGGTGTCTGCAGTTGGGGATGGTTTTATCCACATCATTACGCTCCGTTTATGAGCGATGTTAAAAACTTTGCTAATTTGGATTATTCGTTCGATCTGGGCGAACCTTTTCTTCCATTCGAACAGGTTAGTAGAAATATGAAATAAACTTGTCTACTTTGGATAACATAATATCCTTCAATTTGATTTCAGATTTGATGTTCTCGGTGTAACTGTTTTTTTTTTTTATTTTAGCTGTTAGCAGTTCTGCCTGCAGCAAGTGGGGCACTACTACCTGAGCCTTACAGGAAACTTATGGTGTCATCGGATAGTCCTATATTGCATTATTATCCTACGACGTTTGAAACTGATTTGAATGGCAAACGTCAGGAATGGGAGGCTGTTGTATTGATACCCTTTATAGAAGAGGTGAGTGTAATAATAAAACTAGGTGTAAGTGGTATTTTACCTTAAGGCAAGATAATTAATTTCATCACTACAAATTGATGTTTAGCTATTTATATAAAACGTTGTGTATGTTTTAGGAGCGCGGTCTTTTATTCGAAGTTTTGATAATTTTTTATAATTCATTAACTTGTATGTCTTTGAGGATGTTTCTTTAATACAAGAACTTTATAAATAAGCAAAGTTCCGTAAAAAATACGTCATATTAACGCAACGTTCTGTTACGTTTAGGTTTGCAAGTGTTCAATGAGAATACAACAAATACTAAGAACACTTTTATATTCCTCATTGTAGTTTAGTTATTTAATATATATATATATATATATATATATATATATATATATATATATATATATTATTATATATCAAATGAAAGCTAATAAAATTGTCTATAAATGTGGATAACAATTCACATAACGTTTCTAACAAAATTTTACATAATTTTATTTAAAAACTTTGAAATTAAAATGGCGTCTCTAAAACATTAGTTTCACCGATTGCGGTTTTTTATATATATTATATTTTTGCGTTATATTATATATAATATATTAATATATTTCAAATGAAAGCCAATAAAATTATCTATAAAGCTATGTATAACAATTTATAAAGTTTCTAACTAAATCGTATGATTTTTTTTCTTTAAACTTTGAAATCAAAATGGCGTGTCTATAACATTAGTTTCATCTGTTGCGGTTTTTTTTATATCTACATTATATTATATATTATATATTATATATTATTATATATCAAATGAAAGCTAATAAAATTATCTATAAATGTGGATAATAATTTATATAACGTTTCTAACAAAATTTTATACAATTTTTGTTTTTTTTTTTAATTTGGAATCAAAATGGCGTGCCTATAACATTAGTCTCATCGGTTGCGTTTTTTTATATCCATGTTATATTTTATATTATATATTATTATATATCAAATGAAAGCTAATAAAATTATCTCTAAATGTGGATAACAATTTATGTAACGTTCCCAACAAAATTTTATACAATTTTTTTTTTTTTAATTTGAAATCAAAATGGCGTGTCTATTACATTAGTTTCATCTGTTGCGGTGTTTTAATAACCATGTTATATTTTATATTATATATTATTATATATCAAATGAAAGCCAATGAAATTATCTATAGAACTATGTATAATAATTTATAAAGTTTCTAACTAAATTGTACGATTTTTTTTCTTTAAACTTTTAAATCAAAATGGCGTGTCTATAATATTAGTTTCATCAGTTGCGGTGTTTTAATAACCACGTTATATTATATTTTATATATTATTATATATCAAATGAAAGCTAATAAAATTATCTCTAAATGTGGATAACAATTTATGTAACGTTCCCAACAAAATTTTATACAATTTTTTTTTTTTTTAATTTGAAATCAAAATGGCGTGTCTATTACATTAGTTTCATCTGTTGCGGTGTTTTAATAACCATGTTATATTTTATATTATATATTATTATATATCAAATGAAAGCCAATGAAATTATCTATAGAACTATGTATAATAATTTATAAAGTTTCTAACTAAATCGTACGATTTTTTTTCTTTAAACTTTGAAATCAAAATGGCGTGTCTATAACATTAGCTTCATCGGTTTCGGTTTTATATTCACGTTATTTTATTTTAATATAAATAATTAAAAATATAACAATAATAGTATACATCAAATGAAAGTCTATAAAATTATCTTTAAATCTATGTATAATAATTTATAAAGTTTCTAACAAAATTATATAAAAAAATATTTGAATGTTGAAATCATAATGGTGTGTCCATAACATTAGTTTCATGGGTTGCAATTTTTATATCCACGTTCAATTTATTATAAATAAATAAAACTATAACAATAGTACTATATATCGTTAAAAACCTTATTAAATTATCTGCAAATCTGTATTTCTTTTCGAACAACTGTACAACTATTCGAACAAAATTATTTAGGAAAAATCTGTAAAATTTAATCTTATCTACTCATTAGCCATTGGTGGACTTGTTAAGTTACATTTTTTATTTTTGGTATTATTTTAATAAAACTTATCAGCATATGTTTTTAGTGCTATATATTATGATATAGCACTAAAAATGACAATAAACTTGTCTATAAATCTGTATATAACAACTTGTAACTATTAGAACAAAATTATATGAAAATAATTCATCAAACTTTGCAATTAAAATCTTCGTTAGGCGTCCATACAGTTTTAGCTTTAACTGTTTAGTTCATAATTGAATTTATTTTGTTATACATAATTTAAAAATATTATTATTATTATATACAATTAGGAAGCTAATTAAACTATCTATAAATCGGTGTATAACAATTTATAAAGTTTCTAACAAAATTATATGAAAAAAAATATTTAAACTTTGAAATCAAACCGGCGCATATATAAATTAGTTTCATCTTACTGTTTTTTTTGATATCCAAGTTTAATTTATTATAAATAATTAAAAATATAACAATAGCATTATATTGTTAAAAACCTTTTAATAAAATTGTCTACAAATCTGTATATAACGTTTGATAACTTTTCGAACAAAATTATTTAGGAAAAATTTGTAAAAGTTAAAATTTAGTATCTAATTGTAAGCCTTTGGTGTATTTCATTAGTTACATTTTTTTTGGACATTATTGTAGTAGAATTTGTCAGCATTTTTATATCATTATGATATATCACAAAAAAGTCAATAAACTTATCTATAAATCTGTATATAACAACTTGTAACTATTAGAACAAAATTATATAAAAATAATTCATCAAACTTTGCAATGAAAATCTTCGTCAGTCGTCCACATTGTTTTAGCTACAACGCTTCGGTTTATAATTGTATTTATTTTGTTATACTTAATTTAAAAATATTATTCTTATTATATACAATTAGAAAGGTAATTAAATTATCTATAAATCGGTGTATAATAGTTTATAATGTTTCTAACAAAATTATATAAAAAAATATTTAAACTTTGAAATCAAACGGGCGCATATATAAAATTAGTTTCATCTTGCTGTTTTTTGTGTACACGTTTATTTTAATATATACATTTAAAAATTTAACAACAATATTTTATATTGTTAGAAAGCTAATAAAATTGTCTACAAATCTGTATATAACGTTTGAAAACTTTTCAAATAAAATTATTTAGGAATAATCTGTAAAAGTTAAAATTTAGTATCTAGTTATTTTTGATTTAGTATAGTTGTAGTAAAACTTACTTGCATTTCCACATATTATGATATATCACTAGAAAGTCAATAAACTTATCTATAAATCTATATATAGCAACTTGTAAATGTTAGAACAAAATTATATAAAAATAATTCATCAAACTTTGCAATTAATGTCGTCGTCAGGCGTCCACATTGTTTTAGCTACAAGGCTTCGGTTTATAATTATATTTATTTTGTTATACTTAATTTAAAAATATTATTATTATTATATAATTATGGAAAGCTAATTAAATTCGCTATAAATCCGTATATAACAATTTAAAACTTTTAGAACAAAATTGTCTAGAAAAAAATGTTTAAACTTCCATTGGCAAAGCTGTTACGTTGATGTTATTGGTTACATTTTTGAACAATTGAATACATAACCTTAACCTTATTATTTTCTTTTCAAATATCTCATTATTTTATTTATTCTGTATATAAATAATATTGTTACATTCTGCATTATATATGTAATTATATGTTAAGCATTTTATGTTAATAACTATATATTGTAATTTTGTATATATTTTAATTGTTATTCATCATATAAAATAACTGTATTTTTGAATCCTCTTGGAAGAAATCTGTGGGCTATATATTTAAAATAAATAAATACATAATTTCCGTTTTCCAAGTCTAAATTCTATTTCTTTTTCCAGGAAAAATTATTGGAATCGATGGCTCGACAGAAGCACCTTCTATCCCCCGAAGAAGTTGCAAGGAACATCCATGGGCCAATGTTGCAATACGATTATATTCCTGGTTCTGAAACGACATTTGCATCCGAGTACCCGATGCCCGATCTGACGGCTAACATTCCAAAAAAAGCGCCAGTTCTTAATATTACGGAAGTTTTCAGATCTGACGTCTATGTTCCGTATGAGAAATTAGTTTTGGGGCCTGTTCCTGGTGCTTCTTTCAGTACTTACTTTCCTGGATTTCCGAGCATGATCTATATCAGCTATACATCTAGGTAAGTGGATAATTGATACATGATTTAAAAGATGTACATGATTTACATGATACATGAAAAGATTATGTCTTGAATATAGAATCCGTTTTGGTAATTTTATGCTCATTAAGGCCACTTTTTCGAACCGGAGTTGGAAATCAATATTATGGAAATAAGAAGAGTGATTAATTAGCGTTGAAAATTTATTTATCAAAATAATAATAATATTTCATAAGTACAGTGGTACGAGTGTTTCGAGATATCAAAGGGGCGATTAACAATTTGATTTAATACTACGAGCATTAAGCGAGTAACAATTTTCTAGAAGAAAGTATGAAAAATTTTTTCAGTTGTAACAACGATTTTCCTAAAAACAGTAATTAAATTTAAAAAATTGTAAATTTAATTTTGATAATCTAAAAGCTTAACAAAAAACGCAATGCTAGAAGGAACTTACGGCATTTCAATGTATTTATATGGGAATTTATTGCTTTGAGATACGAGCGTGCTTACGGAACGAATTAAACTCGTATGTCGGGGCACTACTATATATAAAAATGTATTCAAAATTGGATCATTTACAAGTTACTTCGTATAAAGAAAACTGACTCGAATTTTTACATCAATATTTGTTATTTCACCTTATTAGGTTTATTTATTTTATTTTATATGAAGCTATTTTTATAGAGTTTAAATTATGCTGTGTACGTTTCGAGTTTTCATTTCATCCTTCATCAATATCATATTTACATTTTGTACTCGTATGATTTAGTGAGACTTGTACTTGTATCAATATTTGCAAAATAGTTGAGGTAATTATCAATAGGGACTTCATAAAATGTTATAGGCCTATGGAAAGAATGGGAAAATCTTTTTTTTTCGTACTCGTAATCAATAGGCCAATTAATTAATTTGTTTATTAACTTACTGATTGTGAGGAAATAAAACAAATAATGAACTCTACACGATTTTAAACAGAAACAAAGAAGACGACTGACGAGCAAACTAGATAAAAATAATTATTTTTCTAAATCATCATAAAGAATAAAGGAGATTGAGTAAACATTTTTTTTTATTTATTTAGTACTGAGCTAAATACATGATGACGTAAATTTCCATCATATTGTTTTTTACATAATATTTTTATTTGAATTAAGATTTTTTTAAAATATTTTTCCTTTAATCAGAGCATTAATTACATCACCCTGATTTATTTTAAAAAATAGAAAAAAATATGCAAAGAAGGGTTAAAAACATAAATAAAGAACTCTACTGACGAACAAATTCAATTTTGAAAAACTCTACTGACGAGCAAATTGAATTTATAAAAATAAACAGGAAAAAAAAACTTTGCTGACAAGCAAACTCGATTTACAAATAGAAATAAAGAATTCTACTGGCGAAGCAAACTAAAGAAAGGCAAAACAGAACTCTACTGACGAGCGAACTTGATATGAAAAAACTGAAATAAAAACAACTTTACTGACGAGCAAAATCAATTAAAATTCAACAATTCTACTGACAAGCAGTTCGATTTAAAAAAAGTAGAAGAAAAGAACTCTACTGACGAGCAAACTCGATCTGAAAAAATAGGAAAAAAGAACTCTACTGACGAGTAAACTCCATTTTAAAAGATATGAAAAGATCTCTACTGACGAGCAAATTCGATTCAAAAAAAAAGAAGAAAGGTACTCTACTGATGAACAAATTCAATTTAAAAAAGAGGAAAAGAACTCTACTCACAAGCAAACTTGATTTAAAAACAAAGAACTCTACTGACGAGTAAACTTGATTTGAAAAAAGGGAAAAAGAACTCTACTAACGAGCAAACTCTATTAAAAAAAACTGTACTGATGAGCAAATTCGATTTTTTAGAAATACAGAAAAAACTCTATTGATATAAAAAAAGAAAAAAGAACTTTATTATCGAGCAAACTCGATTTAAAAAAAGACTCTACTGACGAGCAAACTCGTTCTGCAAAAACAGAAATGAGGAACTCTACTGTCGGACAAACTAAATTTACAAAGAAGAAAAGAACTCTACTGACGAGCAAATTTGATCTGGAAAACAATAAGAAAGAACTCTACTGACGAACAAATTTAATTTTGACTCAGAAAAGAGAGGCAGAATTATACTAAACGAGCAAATTCGATTTAAGGAAGTAAGAAAGCAACTCTACTAACGCGCAAATTTTAATATCTAATAATTTTTCGTAATTTAACCACATTTCGTAAAGGGGGGACCTCCATGAATCACGTGAGATTTTTAGGGGGTAGAGGGTCTGACAAAAAATCACGAAAGATTCTTACGAACAAACGTCAGGGGGGAGGGGTATAGTGAGATATAACGTATATTTAATTTTTACCTGAATTTTTTAAAAAAATACCATACATTTACATAAAAATTCAAATATTCTACTTTTTTTCTCGTAACTAAAAATACGAGTGATGTTTGGTTGGGGGGGGGGGATATGTTTGAATAAAACCACGTATTAGTAAGGGGCAGGTGGATCCAAAAATTCTTAAAAAACCTATCACGTGATTGATGGACGCCACCAAACCGATATTTTAGGATGTTCGTTCTGACCATGAACTCTATCTATCTGCTACCCAAACTTTTTTTTTTTAATTGTAAGTTATAAAGAAACAGCTCAGGCAATCTTAGAGTAATACTAATCAACACGAGATCTTATAGATTTACATCGAATGGCTTTCAATTTTTTTAAAATCGGTTTACGAGAAAACTTCGACTGATTGAAAATCGAAAATCGTCTCACCTACAAACAATACAAATTGAATGACAATTTCTGTGCCAAACGCTTCAGAATGACTTGATACGTAAAGAAAACAGAAAGTACTTACAATTATTTCTATAATAAGTAAGATGACCATAAGTCCCGATTTGCCAGGACGACAGTCCCGGATTTCCACCTAAAATCCGCATAAAAACAATATTTGTCCCGGATTTAGGTCTTTCGTCCCGGTTTTTCGAAAATTAAAATAAAAATTCACAAAAAATTATGAAAACAAACGAACAAATTTAAAAGAATTTTAAACAAGGCTCTAAAGTAAAGAAAACAATATAGAAACTAAAGTTCGTGATTAATAAAAAAATGTTTCCAATAAAGAAATATTGTTTTCACAATTTCACTTATCATATATTTGTGTTTGTAGAACTTTATTATTGACTGCTTGTTTGTTTTGACTATTTCACTGGCAACTGTAATATGTCTTTTGTAAAAATATTTTCCATTTTAGTAATAAGCTCAAAGGTATATAGTAACCTCGAAAAACTCAAATAATACAAATTACTTCAATAAACTTACATTTCTTACGCAGAGCAGATTTTTCCTTTGTTTCATTATTTGCGATTATTTGCACTACAATTATTTATGGGGGACGGGATAAAATATTCTTCCGATCCTGACATTTTTATTAACTCACAATTTATAATACTACATATTCAACCTTAAAAAGTTTTGACATAACACCAGAAATTTGAACAATATGCTTCACGCTTTCGGTGACGTACGCACGTATAAAGTCCCGTATAAAAATCATATCATCGAGAGCGAATGACTCTCACTTCACGTTGGGGTAACAATTTCCGTTGCATTTGTACGGATTTACACCCATGTCGCGCCTAAAGAAGTTTTACTTCAAAAATAAACTAAACATTGCCGTCCCAGTTTTGACTTAAAAAATATGATCACCTTAAAAATAAGTTTTTGTTTCTTTTTCCCCCCAGGTTGGAAAAGGGTCAAGTCCGCGTCTTTGAGCAAATGACCCGAAACGACAGCATGATAATCGAGATCAAAAACGACACTGCCAAAACTGACGCCGCCACAATAGCCCATAGGGTTCTCAATCAAGTCGTTCACGTCCAATGGCCTCATCTCATAGAAGCCAAAGTCATCGCCGTCCTGGACGAAAACCACAAATACTATTTGAGAAACGGTTGGCAATTCGATAAGCAGGAACACACTCACCAGTCCAGGAGCGAATTCAACAGTTTCCGAAAGAGTAGTAAGAAACACTTCTTCGAACGAATGGGCATCGATATAGGGGATACAAGTATTATTTTACAAGTCGAACAGTTGAAGAACTATGCTTATGTTTTTGAGAAAAAGGGCAAAGTTAAGTTGGAGAAGGAATGGTGCAGCATACCATCTTACCATCCTTTGCAAACTTGCGTATTGAAATTGAGGGTGCAGAATATCAAGCATAAGGAGTACCAATCGATTTTGGATGTTTTTTCAAAGAATCAAAGAGTCTATTTGTTGGGTAAGCCTTATTATGGCTCCGTGGGTCTGGTGCACGATCTGGACGAGCAATCGGGCAGGTTGAAGATCGGTGTCGTTAATGAGGAAGAACCGGATTATTTGGAACTGAAAAAAATGCACAATGATATTCTAAAAAGCTATTTGAACGGGTACGATTCTGCTGCAAAATTAGGTAAGTCATTACAGATAGTGAAACCAATAACGGTATACAGAATTACCGGTAAACCGCTCAATTTTTCGGCGGTATTTTTACCGGTATTTATCCCAAAAATAATACCGAATTACCGGTAAACCGCTCGATTTTTCGGCGGTATTTTTACCGGTATTTATCCCAAAAATACCGGTATTTTCGGTATTTTTACATAAGCGCTATTTGATACATAATACACTAAAGTTTAAATTTCTCGGAACAAATTTATCTTTAAATTCCATAATCGCATAAACAGCTATATCTTCAAGTGATTCTATAAGATAAACAAATGTGAAATATTATCTCAACTCGTCATTAAACTGAATATTTATTGCTTTCCAAAGGGCTTCATATCGTATTACAATAAATAGAATTGGACTGATAGATAATGATGTTTGTTTCATCTTTTGTAAAAATGTAACGATTTTTTAAGGGGGTATTCTACTGTAGAAGCATGAATTTTGCCCGGTTTTTGAAGCGCTGTATAAAGGAAACGAACAATATTTTTGCTATAGATTTTTTTTATCATTTGTTTATTGATATTTTATTATTACATAAAAAAAATTATTAAAGAAAAAAAATTAGAATTCACAAAGTTATGAGCAGTCAAAGTGGGGGCTCAAAAAAAAGAGGGTGTCCTGGCGTGCATGATTCCAATCCTCCTGGTGATCCGAAACATAAAAAATAGATGGATTCTTAATTATTATAGATGCCGCTATCGTATGAACCTTGGATAAGTTAAAAAAAAATTTTTTTGTTTGAATGACGGCAGTTTGAAAAAAAAATTTTTTTTCATGTTTTTTTTTAACAATTCCGAATTTTTGAAAAATACTAAATGAAAGGTTATAGTTTTGAGAAAAGTCCATGCGATAAAGCGATGTATAGAGAAGATCCTCTCCAAATTTGAAGTAAATCGGTTCATTAGAACTCGAGATATCCTTACCGTGAGCTCGAAAAAAGTAGTTCCGAGAAAAACGCGTTCAAAGTTTTGATTCTCGGTCGGACCCGAACCGAGGCCACGTCACTAAAACGGATATAACTCAGGAAATAATAGTAATTTTGAAAAATCCTTTTAATGACATATTTTTGAATAACTAAACTTTGAAAATATGAAAAAAAAATTTTCGATTTTTTCAAAATTCTATAGTAGAATACCCCCTTAAGTGATATTTGCGCCAAAATATTTTATATCATACAGATTACTCCTGCGTAATATTTATTTTTTTCTAACTTTATGCATAATAATTATGATAATTATTAAATATTTTTTGCTTCTTATTACAATTATAAAATATTTATTAGATATTAATTATTATTTTCGAAAACGTTTCAAAGTTTGAAAATACTATAGAAGCATCACATTGTTTTAAATAACAATACTCAACAATTATAGTAACTTATTATTTATCTCGACAAAGTATCCGGTCTTAAATTAGTGTAGAAACATTATTTTTTTTTTTAAATATTAGAGATTATGCTAATTTAACACATCGGATACAGACAATACAGTTTATTATAATAATGCAATATGATCATTTATGAGTTTTTGGTCTTTCTTACTCATAAGTTTGTTTTTGGTGAAAAGCTCTCAATATACTCGATAGTGATAATGAATTAATTAAATTGAATATAATTTTATTGAATTATTTAAAAAAATAAACTTATTGTTTTATTTTATTGTTTAGTTGAATATAGTTGTAGTTGTATATACATTTTTTAAATTTGTACTAGTAACTTTCAATTTTGGTTACGTTTGTTTAAGATAATAAAAATACCGATAATTTACCGGTATTCCGGTTTTAAAATGAAAAATTACCGAAATACCGGCATTGAAATTTTCCATTGGTATTGCATTCTCTAACAGACACCATTGATTTTACTACCATTGGTAACAATATTTCTATTTCTATTACCAGGTATTTCAAATTATCTGCTGGGACGTGTAACAGGAACAGTCTACCTGACCTCAGGTTCAAAAGATAAATTTGATCAGCAGGACACGACTGTCAAGAAATATAACATTGGTTTGAATTTGAAGTTTACGAAGAAAAATGAAGAGGTTACTGGGTATTCTCGAAAAGTTGGAAACACTTGGCTGTATTCGGAGCAGGCTCTCGATTTGATAGCGAGTTACATGGAAGAATTTCCTGAAATATTCAAACTACTCAGTAAGTAGAAAAATTATATATATATATATATATATATATATTTTAGGGTGGTCCTTAATATGGACTTTTTAATTAAATTTATATTAAATAGACATTTAATTAAATTGCGGAGTATCTAAATGTTAGAGAGCTAAAACTTTCAGGGATTTTTGTTTTTTTAATTTGGAAGCATTTGAGCCCTTAGGAGCAAAGAAATTCGAAGATGTTCATATTAGGGACCACCCTAATATACAATATTTATTTATTTATTTATTTATTTATTTATTCAACGCCCAAGGCAATATTACAATATAATTACATTTTAAAGTATACAAATTATAAACTAAAGTTAATATGTGAGAAAATTAGAGTATTAAGAGTTTATAGATAGATTTATATATATATATATATACATATATATATATACATAACACTTAATATCAACTACAAATATATAACATTAAATAAAAACTAATAAAATTAAGCATTTAATAAACTATAAATCACTACTTAAAACAGTCTTTTAAGGATAATTTTTCTGGCTTGATTTTTTTATATATAGGCTTGATATATTTATATATATGAATAAATAGCTTACTAAAAATTACAACATATCTTTATTAACTAATTATTAACTTGTAACAAAATTATTTACAAAAAATCATTGAAATCTCAAGATTTTATACATTAGTACTTTTTGGTATTTAATATAAATATTACTAATCTAGTGTACTTTGTTTACTTTTAGCGTTATTTTGTTTATAATTTATTTAATAACGTACAGATTTTTATATATGAATAGGTAACTAATTAAATTTCCAATAAATTCATATTTAACAATTTTAAACTATCTAAACAAATTTTTTAGCAAAACGATTGAAAACTCATTATTTTGACGCCATTATGTCCTTTGTTAATCTCGTGTATTTTTTAATGACATATATATTATTGTTAGATAGCCAAATGAATTTCCTAAACATCCATATACAACGTTTTTAAACTTTTAGAACAAAATTATTTGCAAAAAATCATTGAAAGTTAAAGTTCTTATACACCAGTACTGTATATGGTAAATTTAGTGTCCTTTTTTTTATTTTGTGATTATAATTTGTTTTATAACGTGTAAATTATTATATGAGAATAGTTCACTAAAAAAATATCTATATATATCAATTTAACAATTTCAAACTATCTAAATAATTTTTTTTAGCAAAATGGCTTTGAAAACTTAATATTTTATTGCCACGTGCTAATATTTTATTGCCATTGGCTAATACAGTGTTTTTTTTTACATTTAGCGTTATTTTAGTTATAATTTATTTAATGACATATATATTATTATATATTGTTGAATAGCCAAATGAATTTCCTAAATAACCATATATAACATTTTTAAACTTTTAGAACAAAATTATTTGCAAAATATTTTTGAAAATTTAAGATTTCATACACCCAAGAACTGGTGTATGTAGTCTAGTCACAAACATATATATGGCAAATTTAGTGCACTTTTTTATATTTAGTGATATTTGGATAATAATTTATTTATTAACATATAAGTAATTGTATATTATCAGATAATTAATCAAATTATCTATATATCTCTATTTAAAAATTTTAAACTATCTAAATAATTTTTTTAGCAAAATGGCTTTGAAAACTTAATATTTTATCGTCATGTATGTCATTGGCTAATCCAGTGTATTTTTTTTTTACATTTAGCGTTATTTTAGTTATAATTTATTTAATGACATATATCTTATTATATATTGTTAGATAGCCAAATGAATTACCTAAACAGTCATATACAACATTTTTGAACTTTTTGAACAAAATTATTTGCAAAAAATTATTGTAAGTCGAAGACTTTATTCACCAGTACTCACTTAGTCAAATTGCATACTTAATATATTTAATAATAATAATATGTTTATTTTCATATATTTTTAAAATATATTATTCTAAATTTTCTGAATACTTATATATAATATTATTAAATTTTTCGAACAAAATTATTTGCCTAATTAAAGAAATTACATAATCAGTATTTACTTAAACATAAGCTAGCCATGTGTGCGCTTGTCGACTATATTAATTGTAAAGTTTGATGAATTATTTTTATATAATTTTGTTCTAACATTTGCAAGATGTTATATACAGATTTATAGATATTTATATCAACTTTTTAGTGATATATCACAATATATAAAAATATAAATAAATCTTATCACTGCTACACTAAATTTAAAAAATGCACTAATGAAATCCACCAATGGTTAATAACTAGATACTAAATTTTAAACTTTACAGATTTTTCCTAGATAATTTTGTTTGAAAAGTTTTTAAACGTTATATACAGATTTGTAGACAATTTTATTAGGTTTTTAACAATATATAACACTATTATTATATTTTTAATTATTTATATCGAAATAAACGTGGATATAAAAAACCGCAACCGATGAAAGTAATGCAACACGCCGGTTTGATTTCAGTGTTTAAATATTTTTTTTATATATTTTTGTTAGAAACGTTATGATTTCAAAATTTTATCATCTATATTTTTATATGCATAACTTTATATAGAATTCTTAGAAATACAGGTTTGCTTTCTGATGACTTCTAAATTATTTCTAACATATTAGGGTTTGTTTATATATGTTCACATTTCTTGTAAACATACATAAGAAGATTTTCAGTTCTTAAATATTATTATTAATTTTTTTTTCTCAGACCAAAGTGGTTACAGCGACATGATGTACGAAAGTGACCTTTACCCCGAAGAAGTTGGTACTGGAAAACTGGACAAAATCTTGGAATGGTTAAAAGCCCAACCGTACAATGATGCCCTTCGAAAAAGCTGTGATTCTCAAGCCCTGACCACTGATATTGTTCGAGAAGTCATTGGCATAACTAACCAACCTAGAGTAAGTCTTGATAATAGATATAAAAAATGGACAAAAATTTATACTTATTACTATTATCTTGTGCAGAAAAAAATCAGTGTTACGATTGCTGTTAAACCGATCCACTTGTACGTTCCTGGACTTCAACCTGATGCAAGGGCTCCTGATCCACTAGCCGTGTTCAATTTATTCGACAGGGTTGTTAACGTGCGTCCAAATCACACTGTAAGTAGAAAATATATAATCTAATACCAGTTCCAATTATTTTTGAAGTAAAACTTCTTTAGGCGCGACATGGGTGTAAAGTAATCGCTTGCATGATTCGCGCTTACGACGCTAGTAAGCGCAGCTATCGCAATTATTCGATCTAGTCTGCGAGCAAAACAAAAAATACATCAAATGTCAAATCATATGTCAGAAACAAAACAAAATGTGTCGACTTTCACTCGAGTTTTGTATTTAGCTCGTAGTCTATAAACATTCTTTGAAGTAAAACTTCTTTAGGCGCGACATGGGTTAGCAGTATAATTCGTGAGTTAATAAAAATGTCAGGATCGGAAGAATATTTTATCCCGTCCCCCATAAATAATTGTAGTGCAAATGATCGCAAATAAATAATGAAACTAAGGAAAAATCTGCGCTGCGTAAGAAATGATTTTTGGCTATGTATGTTTTGTGTGTGATTGACTTTGGCTTCAAAGTGACTTAGAAATATCAAATGATGCTCAAAAACAAATTCTTAATAATGTTTTTTGAATATTGATTCAAATAATCAGGTTGGATGTCGAACTTGTCGAAAGGCATTAAATTCGGGTAAAATTCCCACTTTGTGTAAATTTAATGGGTTTGTATTTCCACCTATACCAAATTATCTATCTAAACTAGATACTGTATCTGAAAGGTTAATTTCACCCAGGTTATGTTTCATGCAAATTAGACGATTGGGACATGCAAATGAACAATTTGGAATGTTTGGCCAAATTATAAATGTGCCTGTTGACATTAATAATATGGTTAATTTATTACCTCGTAATATTGATGATGATCATTGCATTAACGTTCACATAAAAAAGAAAATGATTCATAGATCAAGCTATGTGCAGGGCTTAATAAATAAAACAAATATAAAAGTATGGCTTCAATTTGTTAGGCAAGACGGATATTACAGCTTTTCAAGGAATGAGATTATATCGTCAGCGAAAAAGTAAAAAAATACAAACAGTAAATGAATGTATGTTAATTTTAATTACATGAAGTTCTTCAAACACAATTGTTACAGGATGAGTTAATTTGCAAAAACAATATTTGTTTAGGCGTTGTTTAACATAATCCACTGTGTAAATGAATATTATAGAATTTATTAATCAGCAATTACTTTAAAACGATCATGTCATATTTCAAGTACGACTTTGATTGCATTATTGTTTGTAAATATTATACAAATTTTTAATGCAATCATAAATATTAGGTTGTCAAATATCTCCCTTCCGCTTTTTTGCTCTTGGTTTATAATACAAAAAGGCGGAAGGGAGATATTTGACAACCTAATATATAATTTATAATTTATCATTATATAAATGTGGATAATGATTGACACGAGTGTTACCACATTACTAATAAACATTATTCAAAATTTTTATATAATGTATTTATTTTTACTCAACTTAAATTTGCTACTTTATACAGTAGCAAATAAGTTTTACTTCAATCGCGTGTGATCCTTTTTTTTTACTACTATCTATTTTTCAGGTGCCTTTAGGTTACAAAGGAACGGTAATTGGTGTACACGTCTGTCGTGATCCCAATCCCATACACCAGAATGTTGCAAATGCAGACCAGGATATATTTTTGGATGTTCTGTTCGATAAAACATTTCCTGCTGCTACTGGTTATTGCGGTATGGAGAAAAAGGATGAGGATAATCATTGTTATAGGATGACACCTCAGGCGCTGATTAATATTACATTTGGGGCTGAATCTAATACTGGTAAGAGGAAAAAGATTAAGACATACATTTTTAATTTGCAAGCTCGAGGTTTTAGTATTTTTTTTAGATAAGTTTGTTCTGAGAGTTTTAAATTTTTATATACGGATTTATAGATAATTCAATTAGCTTTTTAATGATATATAATAATAATAATATTTTTAAATTAAGTATAACAAAATAAATTTAATTATAAACTTAAAGCGTTGAAGCTAAAGCAGCATGGACGCCCGACGATGATATTAATTGGAAAGTTTGATGATTTTTTTTAATATAATTTTGTTTTAATAGTTACAAGATGTTATATACAGATTTATAGATAATTTCATTGACTTTTTAATGATATATCATAATATATAAAAATGCTGATAAATTTTATTACAATGATGCCAAAAATAAAAATATCTAACTAATGAATCCACTAATGGCTAACTGGATACTAAATTTGAAATTTTACAGATTTTTCCTAAACAATTTTGTGCGAAAAGTTTTCAAACGTTATATACAGATTTGTAGACAATTTTATTGGGTTTTTAACAATATATAATACTATTGTTATATTTTAAATTATTTATATCAAAATAAACGTGGATATAAAAACTAAACAACCGCTGAAACTAATATTATAGACACGCCGGTTTGATTTCAAAGTTTAAATATTTTTTTTATATAATTTTGTTAGAAACGTTATGAATTATTATACACCGATTTATAGATAGTTTAGTTAGCTTTCTAATTGTATATAATAATAATAATATTTTTAATTAAAGTATAACAAAATAAATTTAATTATGAATCAAAGCGTTGGAGCTAAAACAGTAAGGACGCTTGATGAAGATTTTTATTGCGAAGTTTGATGATTTTTTTTTATATAAATTTGTTCTAGCATTTAAAAGATGTTATATACAGATTTATAAACAACTTCCTTAACTTTTAAATGATATATCATGATATCTAAAAATGCAGATGAATTTTATTACAATAATGCCACCATTAAAAAATGTAACTAAAGAAATCCACCAATAACTAATAACTGGATACTAAATTTTAAACTTTACAGTTTTTTCCTAAATAATTTTGTTCGAAAAGTTTTCAAACGTTATATACAGATTTGTAGACAATTTTATTATACTTTTAACAATATATAACACTATTATTATATTTTTAATTATTTATAATAAATTAAACGTGGATATAAAAAACAGCACGATGAAACTAATGCATCACGCCGGTTTGATTTCAAAGTTTAAATTTTTTTTTAATATAATTTTGTTAGAAACGTTATGAATTATTATACACCAATTTATAGATAATTCAATCAGCTTTCTAATTGTATATAATAATAATAATATTTTTAATTAAAGTATAACAAAATAAATTTAATTATGAACCAAAGCGTTTAGGCTAAAATAGTACGGACGCCTGACGAAGATTTTCATAAAGTTTAATGAATGATTTTTATATGATTTTGTTCTAACATTTACAAGATGTTATATACAGATTTATAAACAACTTCCTTAACTTTTAAATGATATATCATGATATATAAAAATGCAGATGAATTTTATTACAATAATGCCAAAAATAAAAAAATGTAACCAATCAAATCCACCATTGGCTTATAACTGGATACTAAATTTTAAATTTTACACATTTTTCCTAAAAAATTTTGTTGGAAAAGTTTTCAAACGTTATATTCAGATTTGTAGACAATTTCATTAAGTTTTTAACTATATATAATATTATTGTTATATTTTTAATTGCATATATTAAAAAAAAACGTCAACACACAAAAAACGCAAGATGAAACTAATTTTATATACACGCCGGTTTAATTTTAAAGTTTAAATTTTTTTTTGATATAATTTTGTTATATAAAAAAATATTATACACCGATTTATAGATAATTTAATTAGCTTTCTAATTGTATATAATAATAATAATAATATAATTGTATATAATAATAATATTTTTAATAAAATAAATTTAATTATGAACCAAAGCGTTGGAGCTAAAACAGTAAGGACGCTTGACGAGGATTTTCATTGCAAATTTTAATAAATGATTTTTATATAATGTTGTTCTAACATTTACAAGATGTTATATACAGATTTATGGATAATTTTATCACCTTTTTAGTGAATTATCACAATATATAAAAATGCTGATAAATTTTATTACAATAAGGCCAAAAATAAAAAAATGTAACCAATCAAATCCACCACCATTGGCTAATAACTGGATACTAAATTTTAAATTTTACACATTTTTCTTAAATAATTTTGTTCGGAAAGTTTTCAAACGTTATAATATACAGATTTGTAGACACTTATATTAGGTTTTCAACAGTATATAATATTATTGTTAAATTTTTAATTATTTATATCGAAAAAAAACCTACATATAAAATCTGTAACCGATGTAACTAATGTTATAGACACGCCGGTTTGATTTCAAAGTTTAAATATTTTTTTTATATAATTTTGTTAGAAACGTTATGAATTATTATACAAAGATTTATAGATAGTATAATTAGCTTTCTAATTGTATATAATAATAATAATATTTTTAATTAAAGTATAACAAAATAAATTTAATTATGAACCAAAGCGTTGAAGCTAAAATAGTACGGACGCCTGACGAAGATTTTCATTGCAAAGTTTAATGAATTATTTTTGTATGATTTTGTTCTAACATTTACAAGATGTTATATACAGATTTATAGATAATTTTATTGACCTTTTAGTGATATATCACAATACATAAAAATATAAACAAATTAAATTTCATCACAACATACTAAATTTAAAAAAATGTACCGCTCAAATCCACCAATTGTTCATAACTGGATACAAAATTTTAAACTTTACACTTTTTTCCTAAATAATTTTGTTCGAAAAGTTTCAAACGTTATATACAGATTTGTAGACAATTTTATAAGATTTTTAACAATATATAACACTATTATTACATTTTTAAATATTTATATCAAAATAAACATGGATATAAAAAACTGCAACTGATGAAACTAATGTTATAGACACGCCATTTTGATTTCAAAGTTTTAAAATAAAATTGTATAAAATTTTGTTAGAAACGTTATATGAATTGTTATCCACATTTATAGATAATTTTATTAGCTTTCATTTGATATATAATAATATATATTGATTGTATTAAATAACTAAACTACAATGATGAATATAAAAAAGTGTCCTATGTGATTGTTGTATTCTCAATGAACACTTGCAAACATAAACGTAAGAGAATGTTTCGTTAATATTACGTATTACGTTTCGTTAATGTTACGCAACTTGCATTGAAATAGACTTTAGTATAAACGAACATGGTAAAATATTATAGGCCTTGGAAAAGTGGTATGATTATAAAAATTTATTAGAATTTGGGATTAAAGGTTAAAGTGCTTACGTAATAATCATCGTTTTTAGTTCAATAATTTATAACATTCAAACTTATTGTCGAAAATGACTATAACGTTTGAAAAAATTGTGCAAAATTGAAGAATCTGGAACTGTATCTACATTAGAATGGTCTACAGCAAATCGGCTACTTATTTAACACTCAAAAATGATTTTCTATTGATCAAGTCGTTAATTAATTAATTAATTTATTTATTTATTAATTTTACAAGCCGTCAGTATAATAATATTATAATAAGGCTTAAGTCAATGTATTATAGGTTTAATATAATTTAATTAATTATTAGCTATTTTATCATTTATTTATTATTTAATTTATTTACTATAAACTTATTTATATTTAGTTAATTTTAATTATTTATAAATATAACTAGTTTGTTTGTTGCAAGTAATTTTTTAAAAATTTAATAAGTATTTCAATAAGCTTTGCAATACTTTTACAATATAATTATTTTATTTAACAAATTTTGGGTTATTTTATAATATTTTAACAAATTTAAGTGTCTTATATTATTATTATTATTATTATCACTATCATTTTCATTATTATTTACAACATAAGTTTGTTTTTTTTTACAAATTTTAGGTATTTTGATGAAGGAAGTATTTTTTTTCACAATTTTTTAAGTGTTTAAAATATAAGTTTTTGGTTTACTAATTATTAAGCATTTTAACAATAACAGTCATATAAAAAAATTAAATTTTGTTTCACAATTTTTAGGTGTTTTAAATTATAAGTTTTTAGTTAACTAATTATTTAAGTATTTTAACAATAACAGTCATATGAAGATAATAATTAGAAAAAAAAAAGTCAATATTTTGTATCTCCATTTTTTAGTGTTTTTTTTTTTTTAAATTAACTAATTAAGTATTTTAACAATATTACAAATGCAACTTGCTCTAAGACAATATGCCATTTACACCCAGTTCATATATCTATCCTCTTATTATTTTAGCCAAACTCCTGACAGTCAAGGGTCCAAATATTCCATCTAAAGACAAACTTGCAAACGACAATGATTCCGAAGCAAGTGAACCAACTATTATCAAACTAACGGAAGAACAGGTTGTACAGCCTAATCCAGCAGTTGCTTCGGCGGCACCAGAAAACACAAAAGAACCAGAGCCAGCTGGCAAGGTCTGTCAAAATCAGGACGAGGCCAAAGTTAATTCGCTATTGAATGATGACGATGTTAAGGAGTACCAGTTTAAGATTAATAATGATCCGGAGCAACGGAAACAGTTTTGGGATGATTTGCTTAAACAAAAGGTAATAATAGATACATATATACATATATATATATATATATATATATATATATTTATATATATATATACGTATGTATTTATATATATATATATACACGTATATATATATATATACTAGCTAACCCGGCAAACGTTGTTTTGCCATAAAAAATATGCCTAAATTGATAAAAAATTGATAAAAGTGCCAAAAATCAAATATTTAATAGATTTGGACTCTGATTCTTTGACAAATAGTTAAAAACATGTTATAATTTTCGAAATTATTTGACATACTTCATACTTCAAAAATTAATTCACTCGCATCATAGTTTTCTGTTTATTATACTTTTGTCATGTCATATATGTCAATAAAATTTTCTTTCAAATATTATTTATTTGTGAATAAATTAATAACTATTTTAAGTCATCAATGAATAATTATATAATTGTTAAATTCATAAGTTTGGCTAAATCAACACAGGAATATTGTGGAAATAAATATTTTTTTACATAAAGATCTGATTTTTGACATTTGCATTTTATTTTAAATTAATTATAAATGTCAAAATATTTTCTTTTCGGTCAAAATTTAATATGATATGATATAATATTTAGTTTGTCTAGTTTGTTTTTGTCAGATTCCAATGATACCCTCAGATTGTACTATTTCATTTAAAAGGTTACAATTTCCTGTAAGATTAGCATTTGCGATGACAATCAAAATATATCTCAACTGATATATTAATAATAATATTATATTTTAATTACACAAATTTCTCTACACTCCGATAAATAATTCAAACGCATCATACTGTTTTGTTTATTTTAATTTTGTTCATGTCATTTTTTTTAAATTAAAGAATAAATTAAATTTTAGTCTAAATCAACGCAGTATCTTTATCTAAATATACAATTTTTTATATAAATATTTGATTTTTTACATTTGCATTTAATTGAAAAATTGTGAATGTCAATTTCATATATGCAATATGCACTAAATTTATAAATGTCAAAATATTTCCTTTTTGGTCGAAAATTAATATAATATGATAATATTTATTTTACAATAATGTTTTGTATCTATAATTTGCTTGGCAATATTGCCTATAACATAACTTGGAACAATTAATTTATTTGCTTCTTATTTAAGTAAGTCATTAAACTTTTTTTTTGTGAAATGTCAAAATTTTGTTTATGATTAATTTTAAATTCAATATGCCGCTTTTTTATTGTGATCTCTGATCTATAATGTTTAGATGAAGTTTTGGTTTCCGAAATAATTTGGTAAGCTAATCAATTAAATCTAAATCGTAAATCTATTTATATAATTATTTTCATAAATACTGACAAATGACATTTAATTTTTTTACATGTCAACATTTATTTAAATTTTTAAGCATTGATTTTTAATTAGATTTAAAACTATAAACAGTGATTTTGAATATAGCATTTCATCAAATTTGGATTTAAATGTTGGATATTTCTATATATGTACATGTTTTTGAATTTTATTTTTTGAAATGTCAAATTTTTTTTTCAAAAATTATATATCGAAATTTCCTTAAATTTTGACATTTGTCATTTTAGTGTTTTGTTTTTTTTTTTGGTCATTTTCTGTCAAAATTTTTAGAAATATATAAAAATTATATATTTATATTTCAAATTTACTTTTCAAAATTTCCTATAACCTAAGTTGGATATACTCGTATATGCACACGATGAGCCAATAAAATTAAAAATCGGTTCAGTAGTTTGGGCGTCCATCGCGAACCAACATCGTGAATATATATATATATATATATATATATATATATATATATATATATATATATGTTTATTACATTTTTGTTATTTTTTTAGAGTAATCCTGTGGCAGCTCTTCCAAGCAGTGACACAGGCACAGAAGCCCTAAAACAGATATTAGGAGTTGTTCAAAAGGTTCAAAATCAACCAATTGTTCAACAGAGTCCTCCTCAGCAAAAACCAATCGAGCCACAAGCACAACAACGGCCAAGCTGGCAAGCTAATCCTATATCGGTTCAAGATATGTTCAAGGTAATTGGTAAATTCAAATAAGAGGATTGACAATAGAAAAATCAATTATATTTACATTCCGCAACAAGTCACAAGTTGATATTTAAAATTGTATTTAGATATTTAAGAAAAATTAAAGAAACCCGTAATGGAAAATTATGTGTCGAGATCCATGTTATTAAATTTTATTGGCCGATTCTTAGTATATTATGTTATCAGTCTTATAACATATATAGGTCATTCTTTTACAAATCGTACGGATTTTCGAAAAAATAAAATGTCACATTTTAGAATTGTCTGAAATTTTTTTTACAGATATTATACATAAAATCATTTGACGCCTATTGCAGGATATTGCTGAAAAAAAAAAATTTTACGTAAATATTTACGATTGAAATATGGATTTTTTGCTCAATTTCTATGAACATCATCTGCGGTAAATTAATTATCTCCGGATGTGCTGATCGAATCAGTATTATTTTTTTTTATTACACTCATATTGAAGTGAACTTGTAATGATTAATACAAAATTTTTTGTTTTTGCAATTTTCTTAACAATAACGACCCTTAAATATTTACAAAGGTTTTACTCAGCCTTACCCCAACTTTAATCGATCCAAAAAAACATATTTTTTCTTTTTTTCTCTGCAACAAAATTCATTTTACAATTTGTTGGAAACTTTGTTACGTCGAAAGATATTAAATATTTTCAAGCGCGAGCCGCGCTTTTCACGTCGGGGACCTCAAAGACTTGTACTCATTTGTCACTTTCGAATGACAATCTTATTTTTTTTTTTGGTTGAAAAATATTTTATAATTTTGCTTCTGGCGAACAATGAATATATAGTCGAAAAAAATAAATATTAGGGGAGAGCGGAGCTTAAAAGTTCGTGGGTAAAAAGATCCAGTGCAAATATCTCAAATATTGTTGTTAAAAATTTCTAACTTTACTTGTTTTTGAGATATTGGCAGTGGATCTTTTTACCCATGAACTTTTAAGTTCCGCTCTCCTCTATTCGACTATATATTCATTTTTCGCCAGAAGCGAAATTATAAAATATTTTTCAACCGAAAAACAATAAGATTGTTATTCGAAAGTGACAAAGGAGTACAAATCTTTGAGGTCCCCGACGTGAAAAGCGCGGCTCGCGCTTGAAAATATTTAATATCTTTTGGTGTAACAAAGTTTCCAACAAATTGTAAAATGAATTTTGTTGCAGAGAAAAAAAGAAAAAATATGTTTTTTTTTGGATCGATTCAAGTTGGGGTAAGGCTGAGTAAAACATTTGTAAATATTTAAGTGTTGTTATTGTTAAGAAAATTGCAAAAACAAAAAAAAAATTTTTAATTATTACAAAGTTCACTTCAATATGAGTGTAATAAAAAAAAAATAATACTAATCCGATCAGCACATCCGGAGATAATTAATTTACCGCAGATGGTGTTCATAGAAATTGAGCAAAAAATCCATATTGCAATCGTAAATATTTACGTAAAAAAATTTTTTTCAGCAAAATCCTGAAATACGTGTCAAATGATTTTATGAATAGCATCTGTAAACAAATTTTCAGACAATTCTAAAATGTCAAGGTTAATTGGTGTTTGGTTTGTAAAAGAATGACCCATATGTAAAACATATAACATATAAAATCTGTTGTGTTTATACGAGCGTTTATTCAAATGTTTGTCACTGTCAACAATTGAAATCTAACCTCAAAAAGCTGAAAGAGCATTATATTGACTTTATGCGTATGTTATTTATAAGTGCAACGCATTGGTATCTGTTAAGTGTGACATTGATTAAAATGATTTAGTATTTTTGAGTATACTAAATAAATAAAATTTTTTTATTTAGCATGCTGCTAATATGGTGCCTTCGCCAGTCAAACATGTACTACCACCACCACCGGTGCAGTGGTATGGATCCCCACAAAATCAAATGGTAAGGAGAACATTATCTTTTATATATATATATATATATATATATATATACGTTCTTAGCGAAATAAATTGTGTGAATGTTTGAATGCATGTTTGAATATGGCGTGGATCATTTCAGACCGTGCAGTTGGTAAGAGGGAGCTTTTGTTCAGTTGGCCATAGTGACTGTACGAAGAGAATGAAGGCATGCGAGAAGTGAAAAAGAGTTGAATAGAGTGAACGTGTAGAGACGGACAAGTGAGAATATTGAATAAAAGTTATAAAGATTACTACACCGTGTTGTTATTTTAAAGTATAGATTTCTGACAATTAATTAAATATAGAGAAGAGACAATAATATATATGTATGTTTATATATATATATATATATATATATATATATATATATTTGTAATATTTTTGCAGCCCAACCGTAGAATTAAAAAAAAAGATTAAATAACAAAATTATTTATTCCATTAAACGTTTCGACACTTGATGTGTGTCATCATTCAGTAACCCAAATCAATTCAAAACGATGCTTTCTGAACATATGATAAACCTGAACCACACTTTTAACATGTTAACTACACTTGCTTTGTAACCTTGATCAGTGTCCACAATGCACCGCTAACAATAACATAAAATATAGGAGGGCAACATGTGCTCCTTCTATTTCTCGTTTGTTAATATAATAGTATTTTATTATTTTACACAATAAATTTTCATAATTAGTTTTTTCTGTTGTTTTTCCTGGATTGGTATGTATAATTTCGTCCTTTTTTATATTTATATTTATCATCAACTTTGTATTTATGTCATATGTTTTTTAGATTACTGAATGATGACACACATCAAGTGTCGAAACGTTTAATGGAATAAATAATTTTGTTATTTAAACTTTTTTTTAATTCGACGGTTGGGTTGCAAAAATATTACAAATATGTATCAACGTCGACAAAACTATCATCATATATATATATATATATATATATATATATATATATATACATATATACATATATGTATATAGTTTCGGGTCCTGATTTGACCCATCTTCAGTGCATACAAATAATTTGAAGAAAAACCAAAAAAAATAACACTGAAAATATAATGCACTAATTACTATACAAGTTACAGAGCATGACTTTTAATAACTATTAAATTAAAATAAATATTAAATTAAAATAAAATAAATAAAAAGGTTTTAAAAAAAGAACTCTTCTCATCGAGACATCTTATGTTTTGATGAAAAAACCTCTCAATTCATATATATATTTTATAATATATGTATATATATATATATATATATATATATATATATATATATCTTAAACAGACATCAAGTTAGATAATAAAAATAAATTGTTTCCAAAAAAAATTTCAATTTCATATGATTCGAGTATCTATTTAACTCTTCTTCAATAGGTGAAACTACAAAAATAATCAATTACAGAAGTGAGAGAGTCGATTAAAAATATTTGTTTATAAATATAACTTTAGTTTTATTTCTAATCCTAAATTTCTATCATCTGGATGGATGCTATTCATAGACATTACACTACCAGGACTGTTAGTCTTCGTATGTTTTCCATTATATATGGTGCTCAAACACAGAAGGGGACTGTGACGTCACATGTCTGAGCGATCATTGCCGACGACAATCGCGGACTCTCCCGAATCATTCAAATCGGATGCTTAGTTCTCTCAAAAAACTGCTATATTTTCACATTTAGCTCGGTATCTTTAAAACGGTTGGACCTGGGTTTGTAAAAATAATGTAAACTAATGTGTGTGTGTGTATGCGGATACAAATTTTTGTCGACGATTTCGGGAATACCGATCAACCGATTTGAATAATTCAAAAAACATTCGATTCGTATTGATAAGGAGACGTGCTGATTAGTTTTTGGCGACGGCAAGCTTAGCCGTTCCGAAGATAGGGAGCAAAAAGTGTCAAAAACAGTAACTCAGTTTTAAAAAAAATTTTCTTGTATTGACAAGATAAAGAACTGATTAAATTTTTGGGAAAGCAGGTCCAGCGGTTATGGACTCTCAATAAAAATAAGTTAAAAAAATGTTTATTGGTCAAAAATGTTTATTGGACATATGAACATCAAAGTATCAGATATTTTATAGAGATTTTAATAATGTGTATCAATTTTGTTTGCATTTCTATGGGTTCCGTATCAAGATTTTTAATTGCGGTACGAGAAGTTCCAGCAATTTCTCACTAGTGTTTTGCTTCAAATCATAATTAGAAAGACTAGGTGCCGTTTTTTTTTAACTATTCTACATTATCCAAAGTTACGTACAATAATTTAAAACTTTTGAATGCTCAGAAAAGAAAAGTTACATTTTTTCAAGTATTTTGAAATTTTGAACAATTTTGAAAATTTTGGAAACAATTGATAAAAATTGCCTAATCTGAAGATGCTTCTTTTAAATTTTTTTTTTTTTTTATTTAAATTGAAAATTCTCGAATGTGGTTAGTACCCATTCCTATCGGTCGATTCAATATCTTATTTTGGACCGCCAAAAGGCATTTTTAAAAACTTTATTTACTGGATCTCCGAAACCGCTGGACCTGCCTTTGCAAAAATCTAATCAATTCTTTATTACGCCAATACAAGAGCAACGTTGTTTGAATCATTCAATTCGGATGCTCCGTCCTCTCAAAAACTCGATTTCTATTTTCTGCACTTTTTGCTCCGTATCTCCGTAACGGCTGGACCTGTCTTTGCTAAAAACTAATTAGCACGTTTTCTTATCAATAGGAATCGAACACACATGCACGCACACACACATCCATTTGTTCTAAGGTTCAGAAGCCTCTGAAACGTAAAGATATATAGAAATTACGGGAAGAATAAAATATATTTTCAACTAAATCGCAAATATGTTATTACAAAAATATAATCAAAAAAATCACACGTGTATCATAGTAAGAGATTCTATTCTTTAATAAAAATTAAGTTTGGACACAGAATTCTTTTATCGTTTTTGGAGTAATTTTGTCCATACCCGGTGAAGATCTGTTTTTTATCTTTCTTATTTCACATGAGACATCATTTGGTGAAAAATGTCGTAACGGTGTTAAATGTATGGGTTGATTTACGAAATTGTTAATTAAATTATTCTGGGAAATATTTCGAGCGCTAAAAATGCTACATAGATGATCTGCAAAAGACTTTGCTTTTTTTTCGTTGCCTTTTGCCCAAATTCAACCATTTTGGTTTGGTAATACACATATGTTCTAAGATAACCGAATTCGAATTTGTTTACATACTACACCTAAGTCTGTTTTTACACGGTCTTTTTGTTTTGAAAATTGAATATTTTTAATTTTTTTACACGATTTTACTCCATTTAGCACGATTTGAAATTTTATGTACTTAAATTTTTTTTGTCAAATTTAATTTTTGCGAAGTATGTTCATATCACAAAAAAGTATTTATGAAAGAAAAAAGTCTGAAACCATCGATAGTATCGATAGTTTGCGAACACTAGCCTAAAGATTTAAGTGAATTCCCCATGAATTCTTGATCTTAAAAATTCTTGTTTTTCACTAATTTTAATAGGTTTTAGAGATTAGGAACAAATTACCCATTTTTGTATAAGATCAATGTCTTTTTTTACACGTTTTTTTCTACACGGCTTCTTCTGGAACCAATCTACCGTGTAAAAAGAGACTTAGGTGTATTTTATTTATATTTCTTTCACAAATGAAAATTATTGCGACATGTGTGAAAACCATGAAGTAAATTTTCAGAACTATCGTCCCATGCAACAACCACAACACCACCATCACCACCAACCTCAGCAGCAATTTCGTCACCATCAGATGCCCGGATCATCTCCGAACCACCAAAAACCACCACCTCCTCAATATAACCAAATGCCTGTGAATCAGAAGCAACAGTTTTATCAAATGTCACCGAACCAGAAACAGCAATTCCATCAAATGCCAGGACATTCACCTCATAAACATATAAATCAGAAAATGGTGAACCAGCAGCAATTTCCTAATTACAACAATATAATAAGACCACCGGGTAATAGTTTGATGGTGCATAAACCACAACAGCAAAATTTGGTGGTGCGACCGCCGAATTTGATGGTGCAACAACCGATGGTTCGACAATCATTCAATAGTAATGTTAATATGAATGTCAGTATTAATGAAAATCAGGAGGTTAACAGGAATAGAAATGCTAAGGGTGGTTTGCAAGGAAAAGCTGCAGATGCATCTCCGAGTGCATTTATACCATTGCAGGCTGTTAGAAAGGCAAGAGTTTCTACTGGCAGTTGTTCAAAGGTAAACACGAACACTCAGACCCCAAAAGAACATATAGTGCAGTAAACGGAGCGTTTTAGGTCTGAATTTTTTTAATGTGCTCCGAATTGAATGAAATTTTGGAATTACGTTCATCTTACCCTCAAGTTCAAAAGTGAAAACAATTCGGGTTGCGCCATCATCCCACGGGGGGGGGGGGGGTGACACCCCTTCTCAATTGTGTAATTACATTTTTTCAAAATAACGTCGGAGATCGATAGAAGGACTAATTATAAGAAAAAAATAATAATTCATAATAATTATTCAAAAAAACTAATACTTTTCAAGTTACTGGCCACTAAAGATTCATATATTTTTGTCGTTTTTCTTCTTTTTTTTTGCAAATATCTCCTGAAATATACATTTTAACGAAAATCATGTAATGAACAAAATAATGTCAATAAAAATCTTAATAAATCGCTATTACATAAAGTGTTCTAGGAAAAATATCAAGCAAGATTTGAAAGAGCAAATAGCGTTTTTTATTTAGCTCAAGATTTAATTGTTGTTTTTAAAGCCATCTAGTGTCGAGGTTTTACATTTTATGCATTTCGGTGAAATTGGGTTTTATAGTGCTCAGCATAAACTTCAAAATGAGTGCTCTTACAATTTTTTTGTGTGTAAAATGAGTGAGCTATCATGCAAATAAGAAGCATATACGATGTTTTTTTTTTTAAATCATATGGTTCAATGAGCGCCATTTCCACCAGAATTAAAGTAATTCACATTCCATCTAGAATTCACTTCATTACAGACATCTGGATGGATTCTAGCAGATTCACTACTTTAGTACAAGCTATTTTCAGAAAACTCACGATTTTATAAAAACTTTTTTTTTCGAATTTGCGCGGCCGCGCAGTCTTTAAACATTCATAACTCTGTCAATTTTTGTGTGAAAGAAAAAAAATAAAAAACAATAATAAGCCAGAAAGATCCCTTTGATTTTTATCTATATGCTTTTATACGTATCTTTTATTCTTTTAGAGATATAACGAAAATAATTTCGATTTTTAAAAAATTGAAAAGAAAGTTTTTATAAAATGGGGGGGGGGTAATGATGGCGCAACCCGAATTGTTTTCACTTTTGAACTTGAGGGTAAGATGAACCTAATTCCAAAATTTCATTCAATTCGGAGCACAGTAAAAAAATTCAGAGGTTATACCCTTTTTTCCTCTCCGTTTACTGCACTAATAAACTTGAACCAAAATACAGGTGTAGTACGGGGTGCCCCAGAACTCAACGTCAAGAAAAAAATTAGGATGGTAATAAAAATTTGGTCACTATTTGACCAAAGCTCTAGTTTCTACTCTTCCACTGCATATGAAAAAAAAATCATTTTCCCCTGTCACCCCGTTTCGACTTGACGTTGAATTCTGGGACAATCCTGCACATACTCATATACTATCCATTAGGGTTTGTCGGTTTTCAAAAACCGTTTTTTTTGCGAAAATTATGAATTAGAAAACCAGTTTTTTAGTGAAAAAAGTCAGTTTTCGCTTTGATTCTTGAAATCATATCGGTTCAATAGCATTTGATATTTTATCAGTCTGCGATTTAGGGTCACAAAGGTTTAGATTTATTAATTTAGTATATATTAGTGTAGTATCTATTAATTTCGATTTTTATACCAGAGTATATATTAATTTAAATCAGTGTGACTTCTTCTTGAAGAAGTACGTTGCTTTACTCTAACTTGAAAAAAAGAGTTTTAAACCCTTAGAAGCCACAAATTAAAGAACAAAACCTTTGAATTATTAGGCTTTAAAAGCAATTAAGTATGATTTGGTCGCAAGTATGAGAGTATTTTCTATTCTAGGAAATTTTGTGAGAAAACAAAGGACACGTCTAAGAAGCAATTCGATAGACGTTCTCAATTTTTTGAAATCATATTTTATTAAACAAAAAAAAAACAAATAGAATGTTTAAAATTACTTAATTAAAATTGCTCGGAACAGAAATATAAGCTTAGATTAATTGTTTTCAACATGTATCTAATATTTTTTTATTTTTTTTATTTAATGATTTTTTTTTTATTTAAAAATGTATTATTTATATTTATTCGAAAACTTTCCTTTCACTATCATAAAAATATTTTCATTCCTATATAGTGCAGTAAACGGAGAGGAAAAAAAGGTATAACTTCTGATTTTTTTTTACTGTGCTCCGAATTGAATGAAATTTTGGAATTAGGTTTATCTTAACCACAAGTTCAAAAGTGAAAACAATTCGGGTTTGGGGGATGACACCTTTTCTCAATTGTGTAATTACATTTATGAAATGTGAAAAAAAAGTTTTTATAAAATCGTGAGTTTTCTGAAAATAGTTTGTACTAAAGTAGTGAATCTGCTAGAACCCATCAAGATGTCTATAATTGAATTCTAGATGGAATGTGAGTTACTTTAATTCTGGTGGAAATGGCGCTCATTAAACCATATGATTTAAAAGAAAAAAACTTCGTATATGCTTCTTATTTGCATGATAGTTCACTCATTTCACACGCAAAAAACTTGTAGCAGCACTCATTTTAAAGCTTATGTTGGCACTATAGAACCCAATTTGACCGAAATGCATAAAATGTAAATCCTCGACACTAGATGGCTTTAAATACAATAATTAAATCTTGAACGAAATAAAAAACGACTTTGCTCTTTCAAATCTTGCTTAATATTTTTCCTAGAACACTTTATGTAATACTAATTTATTAAGATTTTTATTGACATTATTTTGTTCATTACAAGATTTCCGTTAAAATGTATATTTTAGGAGATATTTGCAAAAAAAACGAAGAAAAACGCTAAAAATATATGAATTTTTAGTGGCCAGTAACTTGAAAAGTATTAGTTTTTTTTTTTGAAAAACTATAAAAGACATTTTTTTCTTATAATTACTTTTTTCATCGATTTCCGACGTTAATTTGAAAAAATGTAATTACACAATTGAGAAGGAGTGTCATCCGAATTGTTTTCACTTTTGAACTCGAGGGTAAGATGAACCTAATTCCAAAATTTCATTCAGTTCGGAGCACAGTAAAAAAATTCAGACCTAAAACGCTCCGTTTAATGCCCTAATATGTGAAAGTAATGCATGAATAACGAATAATTATTTTCAAATTTATTTAATCAAGATAAACTATTATTTTTTAGTTCTGCTAATTAAAATTAAAATAATTTTGTTTACTATCTATAAAACTGAACAATAAATAAATTCAGTCAAATACTATTCTAAATTACACTAAATTTGCGGATAAATTACAGAAAATTGGAGCAAAAATTTATTTTCTATATAAAATTCGAAAACCGGTTTTTTAGTAAAATTAAAACTCGGAAACCGGTTTTCTGAAATGTCGGTTTTTGTATAAACCCTACCATCCATTAATTCTGGTTTCTTTCTTTCAAGGGTAAACTTGAACTTTCTCTTTCTCCGGCCGCAAGAGAGGAGGCCCTGCAGCAGCTCGAGAAATTGCAGTTGAAGCAGAGAGAGATTGAGAAGCAGTTCGAAAAGTTTTGTAGGAATACTAGCGATCAAATGCAGATCATGGCAGGTCATGATGGTCAACATGGACATGCCAGCAATACTGGACAGCAACAAATGAATAATTCGGTGAATAATTCGGTTCAGCAAAATATGAAGAAGGAGAATGATGCTACGGGAGCAGGAGGAAGTAATCAGCCTGGTTTGGGGAACAAAAAGGTAATTTTTAAATTTTTTTTATGAAAATAAGTGTGAGTAATATTGTAGTACATAATAATCCGCACATATTATATTATGAAAAAGATTTATTTAAAAGAAGTATTGCAGAATCGATATTAATAGCTCACACAAATAATACATATTATATAAAATACAATAACATTGCAAAAAATCATAAAAGGTAATGAATTACAATTAAAATAAAATATTATTGCCGACGTAAATATATGAAAAATATTGAAATCTTAAATTTTTCATACATTGGAATATATTAGAAGCTTATAAGGCGAATGAAAATAATCAATAATAATTATTATTGTTTTATTCGGCGCATTAGATTTTTTTATCATGACTAATGAATATACTTATATACAAGATATAAATAAATGTTGATTTTTAATAAATATTTCCATACTTATATACAGAATTTGTCGAGACGCGCGATAACGACGAGCCATATGCGCGCGTACTAGCTTAAGTTTTTTCAACTTTTCACCTAAAGTTCCACTTACATTTAAATGAATTTTTGAATAACAGAAGAAAAATGTACAAGCTTTCGAATGATGCTAATTTAAAAGTAGTCAAAAGAGCCGCACTGGTAGAAAATGAAAAATCATTTTTACCTTTTCACGCACTAACAAATAATTTTTTCACATTATTTGATATGAACAACATAGACAAGATCGGTATAAATAGAATGACGTTAACAGTTTTTCGATATCTCTCATATTTCCGACAAAAAGTGAGTTTCAAAAAAGGGGCCACTTTCACATGTTTTCACTGATATCTCGGTCAAATGATGAGCTACGGATTTGAAATTTGGTATTTCGAATTTTCATTTAAATACCAGGGTGGGGCCAATTCTGTATGGAAACACGCCCAGACCCTTTACGGACAGATACCAATATATTACATGATACATATCTGAATATTATTTATACTGTGTAGCTTTTTATGTACTTATGTATGTAAATGTATATATATAAGGTTGCCAAATATCTCCCTTCCGCCTTTTTGTATTATAAACCAAGAGCAAAAAAGCGGATGGGAGATATTTGACAACCTAATATATGTATGTATATATGTATGTGTGTATGTGTAATGTGTAAATGTGTTAAATGTATTTTCAATTTGCTGCAGAACTTCTTAACCAGTCCAGCTATTTTTTTTTTAAATTTATTAGATTCGCAGGCTTATGATATTAACTGAATTGCTTTCATTGAAAAGAAATGGGTTACTTAGAACAATTTCAAACTAGTATTAATTCATTTACTATAGGCCTATAATAATTTACAAATATATTTAACTCTATTAATTTGCAACAAATTTACCAATCATTTCATATTGTTTGTAGAGTCAAAAGTCAATTTGCTTGTCAGTAGAGTTCTATTTTTCTTATTTATGTAAATTCTCAATAATTAGTAATTAATAATTAATTAGTATTAAGTATGTCGAGAATCATTTTGCTCGTTAGTAGAATTCTGTTTTGCTGGAATTGTGTTTGCTCGTCAGTAGAGTTCTTTTTGTTCTTTAAATTGTTTTTGCGCGTACTGTTTTTTTTTTATTGGATTTGCTCGTCAGTAGAGTTTTTTTCGGTCTTTTTCTAAAAAGAGTTTGCTTCTCAGCAGAGTTTACCTTTGTTTTTTTTTAAATCGACTTTGCCCGCCAGTAGAGTTCTTTCTTTCTGTTTTTTTTTTTAGTTTGCTTGTCAGTAGAGTTATTTCTTATTTTTTTGTCTAATTTGCTCGTCAGTAGAGTTCTTTCTTCTGTTTTTTTTTTCAACAAGTTTACTTTTCAGTAGTGTTCTTTCTTTGTTTTTTTTTTAAA